AGTCATGGTCGTCATTGATTGGTCGGGGCTGGGGTCTCCTGAGACTCGTTCTGGTCCAGCGACCTTTTGCAGTTTGGGGTGGGTTAGGGTGGTTCCGTCATTCCGTTCCGCCTGACTGGAGTGATGGGTTTTGGTTTCCTGGAATGAGAGGCTTGGGGCATCAATATGAAAGTAAAAGATTTAAGAGGCTTGGGGGCTAACAGTATCAAGCCTTTACTGAATTCTTTCCATGAAGGACACGGTGGGTGATGAGGCCCATGGCCAGGATGACATACGTGCAGAGCTGAATTCCGGCTCTCTGCTCGCCCCGCTGTGACATTGGCAGGTTACTTCTCTCTACGTTTTGTTTTTCATACTGTCTCATGATGATGACAGAGAGGTTGAGTATGGAGGGCCCGGACAGGACTGAAGCACGGGGACGAGGGAGTGTGGCTTAGAGAGGAAGTAAGGCCAGTCCAAAGCCTGGACCTGGGTTTCAGGGGGTGAAATCTGAATTCACTAGAGCGGTGGCAAAAGTAAAGGTGAATGGATGGAGCCAGTCCAGGAGCTGAAGAGCCCCTGGGTTGGATGGTCATCACCCAGGGTGATGGCAGGACATGGGGTAGGGACAAGCCTGTGGCCTCGCTCACAAGTCCTCAGTGAATCAGGGAAATGGGCCTGTAGGGAGCAGCAGGGAGGGGCCGGGTCCTCATGAATCAGGGAAATGGGCCTGTAGGGAGCAGCAGGGAGGGGCCGGGTCCTCATGACTCAGGGAAATGGGCCTGTGGAGAGCAGCAGGGAGGGGCCGGGTCCCCATGAATCAGGGAAATGGGTCTGTGGAGAGCAGCAGGGAGGGGCCGGGTCCCCATGAATCAGGGAAATGGGTCTGTGGAGAGCAGCAGGGAGGGGCCGGGTCCCCATGAATCAGGGAAATGGGTCTGTGGAGAGCAGCAGGGAGGGGCCGGGTCCTCATGACTCAGGGAAATGGGTCTGTGGAGAGCAGCAGGGAGGGGCCGGGTCCCCATGAATCAGGGAAATGGGCCTGTGGAGAGCAGCAGGGAGGGGCCGGGTCCCCATGAATCAGGGAAATGGGTCTGTGGAGAGCAGCAGGGAGGGGCCGGGTCCCCATGAATCAGGGAAATGGGTCTGTGGAGAGCAGCAGGGAGGGGCCGGGTCCCCATGAATCAGGGAAATGGGTCTGTAGGGAGCAGCAGGGAGGGGCCGGGTCCTCATGAATCAGGGAAATGGGTCTGTGGAGAGCAGCAGGGAGGGGCCGGGTCCTCATGAATCAGGGAAATGGGTCTGTGGAGAGCAGCAGGGAGGGGCCGGGTCCCCATGAATCAGGGAAATGGGTCTGTGGAGAGCAGCAGGGAGGGGCCGGGTCCCCATGAATCAGGGAAATGGGTCTGTGGAGAGCAGCAGGGAGGGGCCGGGTCCCCATGAATCAGGGAAATGGGTCTGTGGAGAGCAGCAGGGAGGGGCCGGGTCCCCATGAATCAGGGAAATGGGTCTGTGGAGAGCAGCAGGGAGGGGCCGGGTCCCCATGAATCAGGGAAATGGGTCTGTGGAGAGCAGCAGGGAGGGGCCGGGTCCCCATGAATCAGGGAAATGGGTCTGTGGAGAGCAGCAGGGAGGGGCCGGGTCCCCATGAATCAGGGAAATGGGTCTGTGGAGAGCAGCAGGGAGGGGCCGGGTCCCCATGAATCAGGGAAATGGGTCTGTGGAGAGCAGCAGGGAGGGGCCGGGTCCCCATGAATCAGGGAATGGGTCTGTAGGGAGCAGCAGGGAGGGCCGGGTCCTCATGATCAGGGAAATGGGTCTGTGGAGAGCAGCAGGGAGGGGCCGGGTCCTCATGAATCAGGGAAATGGGTCTGTGGAGAGCAGCAGGGAGGGGCCGGGTCCTCATGAATCAGGGAAATGGGTCTGTAGGGAGCAGCAGGGAGGGGCCGGGTCCCCATGAATCAGGGAAATGGGTCTGTGGAGAGCAGCAGGGAGGGGCCGGGTCCTCATGAATCAGGGAAATGGGTCTGTAGGGAGCAGCAGGGAGGGGCCGGGTCCCCATGAATCAGGGAAATGGGTCTGTAGGGAGCAGCAGGGAGGGGCCGGGTCCTCATGAATCAGGGAAATGGGTCTGTGGAGAGCAGCAGGGAGGGGCCGGGTCCCCATGAATCAGGGAAATGGGTCTGTGGAGAGCAGCAGGGAGGCGCTGGGTCCCCATGAATCAGGGAAATGGGTCTGTGGAGAGCAGCAGGGAGGGGCCGGGTCCCCATGAATCAGGGAAATGGGTCTGTGGAGAGCAGCAGGGAGGGGCCGGGTCCCCATGAATCAGGGAAATGGGTCTGTAGGGAGCAGCAGGGAGGGGCCGGGTCCTCATGAATCAGGGAAATGGGTCTGTGGAGAGCAGCAGGGAGGGGCCGGGTCCCCATGAATCAGGGAAATGGGTCTGTAGGGAGCAGCAGGGAGGGGCCGGGTCCCCATGAATCAGGGAAATGGGTCTGTAGGGAGCAGCAGGGAGGGGCCGGGTCCCCATGAATCAGGGAAATGGGTCTGTAGGGAGCAGCAGGGAGGGGCCGGGTCCCCATGAATCAGGGAAATGGGTCTGTAGGGAGCAGCAGGGAGGGGCCGGGTCCCCATGAATCAGGGAAATGGGTCTGTGGAGAGCAGCAGGGAGGGGCCGGGTCCCCATGAATCAGGGAAATGGGTCAGTGGAGAGCAGCAGGGAGGGGCCGGGTCCCCATGAATCAGGGAAATGGGTCTGTGGAGAGCAGCAGGGAGGGGCCGGGTCCCCATGAATCAGGGAAATGGGTCTGTGGAGAGCAGCAGGGAGGGGCCGGGTCCCCATGAATCAGGGAAATGGGTCTGTGGAGAGCAGCAGGGAGGGGCCGGGTCCCCATGAATCAGGGAAATGGGTCTGTAGGGAGCAGCAGGGAGGGGCCGGGTCCCCATGAATCAGGGAAATGGGTCTGTAGGGAGCAGCAGAGAGGGGCCGGGTCCCCATGAATCAGGGAAATGGGTCTGTGGAGAGCAGCAGGGAGGGGCCGGGTCCCCATGAATCAGGGAAATGGGTCTGTAGGGAGCAGCAGGGAGGGGCCGGGTCCCCATGAATCAGGGAAATGGGTCTGTGGAGAGCAGCAGGGAGGGGCCGGGTCCCCATGAATCAGGGAAATGGGTCTGTGGAGAGCAGCAGGGAGGCGCTGGGTCCCCATGAATCAGGGAAATGGGTCTGTAGGGAGCAGCAGAGAGGGGCCGGGTCCCCATGAATCAGGGAAATGGGTCTGTAGGGAGCAGCAGGGAGGGGCCGGGTCCCCATGAATCAGGGAAATGGGTCTGTGGAGAGCAGCAGGGAGGGGCCGGGTCCCCATGAATCAGGGAAATGGGTCTGTGGAGAGCAGCAGGGAGGGGCCGGGTCCCCATGAATCAGGGAAATGGGTCTGTGGAGAGCAGCAGGGAGGGGCCGGGTCCCCATGAATCAGGGAAATGGGTCTGTGGAGAGCAGCAGGGAGGGGCCGGGTCCCATGAATCAGGGAAATGGGTCTGTGGAGAGCAGCAGGGAGGGGCCGGGTCCCCATGAATCAGGGAAATGGGTCTATAGGGAACAGCAGGGAGGCACCAGGCACCAGAGCTCTGCAGCCAGGGCTTGTCATTGGCTCTGTGGAGATCATGCTCAGGACATAGTGCAAGGAGGTGAGCACAACACCCTAACCCCACCCTTGACCTGCAGTTTGAAGGGAGCATCTCATTGGAGAAGAAGGCCTGTGACTGCCGGGAAAGTAAGTCCTTAGTAGTAACCCCACAGTGGCCAGGTGGGGCTGAGGGAAGAGACGATGGAGTGAGGTCTGAACAAGAACCTCAAACCTTTCGAAGCCACAGCCCTTATTAATAGAGCCCGCGAGCTCCCCAGTGTCAGGACGCAAGGCCGTGGCTCGCTCTGTGACTCTGGGTCTGAGATGCCAGAGTGGGCCCTGGGAGATGGGCAGTCACGCTGTGAGCTGACTCAGTTTGCGTCATCGCATTGAAAGCACCAAGATTTCTCTCTTCCCCTGAGCAAACAAGCCACACCTTACACCAGCCAAAGTCCACCTCACCTTTCAGCTACCCCAGGTGGGTCACCCAGCCTTGGGGAGTTTCATTTTCCTGGTAACTCAGTGGTGTTTCCAGGAGAGGACGGGCCTCTTCGCTCTGCCACATGGGCGTATGTAACTGACACGGTTGGAAGAACAGTCACCCACTGGCCATCTGCAGAGCCGGAGCGGAGGGACTGACCTGCGGGTGTGGCAGGGACGCGAGGTGGGCTGCTAAGAAAGCTTTGCGCGAGGAGGGCTTGGCAAGAGGCTGGGCTGAGGAAATAGGAGCAAATGCAGTGGTTAAGGCAGTGATGATGGGGAGCTCTTCTTGGGTCATCTTTGGAGATAGTTTGAAAGAAAGGAAACAGTGCCTTCAAGCATGTTACAGGTCTCTGGTCTGCTCTAAGTCCTGTTCTCTTCCGTTGTGGGATCTGTAGAACCCTGGGGAGGACACTGGTTGAAATGACCCGCTGACAGACGCTGCTGGTGGTGGTGGAGCCTGGCAAAGCCTCCGCGCGGGGCCACTAGCCAGCACCCCAGTGTGGGAGAGGACACTCCACACTCCTGCCGAATTCTGTCCACTGAGGAAAAGTCAGAGAAGACTTTTGACCTTTGTTTGTGATGCCCTGGCTTCTGGCCATAGCACTCTGGCCTTTCAACTTTGAGCTGCAGAAATATTCATAGGAAGCTCAGGAGAGGAAAGCAGAATTGGTTCGAATCACCTGCTTCTTCCAGGGGTATGACATGAAAAACCAAGAGTGACCACAAGTTTCATAAACACAAGGAAAGCAGAGGGTGCGTGACATCGTCCAAGCTGCTGCGTGACTCGGCAGCGCGCTCGTGCTGCGCGCAGGGAGCGGGGGGCGGCGGCTCCAGCACTGCCTGCCGCGGGCCGTCCTCTCTGGACTGGGGGGGGCGGGGCTGTGGACAGGAGGCTGGCAGTGCGGGGTGGAGGCCATGGTCTCTCTGCAGGAGAACAGCTGGGAAGAGGGCATCTGCCCCATCTGCCAGGAGAGCCCCACGGAGGCCGTGAGCACCGACTGCGGACACGTCTTCTGCCGAGTGTGCCTGGCCCAGCACGTGGACAAGGCCTCCGCCTCCGGAGTCTTCTGCTGCCCCCTCTGCAGGAAGCCCTGCTCTGAAGGGGTCCTGGGAGCAGGCCACATCTGCCACAGCCACCAGAAGAGGGTGCGCTGGTTCTGTGAGGAGAGCAGGCTGCTTCTGTGTGTGGAATGCCTGGTGTCCCCCGAACACAAGTCTCACTGTGAGCTGGCCATTGAAAACGCCATCAGTCACTACAAGGTAAGGCCGGGTGGCCACCTCCGGAGTCACTCCGTTCTGCCCCCTGTCCAGGGTGCTGGCATTTCACAGAGGCTTGGTAACTGGCACTCTTCCTTGGTTCTTCTGTTCGTCCTTTGGGACCCCTCTTTGCTTTTCCGTGTTCATTTTGCTGCTGGTGTCACATGTCGAGGTATAACTACAAGTCTCAGCGAGGACACTGCCGCGGTGGTGGCCACTCTCACTGCTCACTGTAGGACGGAGTTGGACTAGATGATGCAAAACTCCCTGAAGACCAAGACCATGCACCTCCCCTGGCTGATTGCACTAAAATTTGTCTAGAAATTTAATCATTATCTAACAATTAATGCTAATAATTTTCCTGCAAATATATTGAGACCTGGGAATTAGGGCATGTTTCTCTTACTTTGTCTTTTCTTTTCTTCCTATAGTGATTATTTGGACCCTATTCTACTTAAATTTTTTGTTATAAAAGTTACATGCTCTTGGTAACTCACTGAGACAACACAGCAAGGTATAAAGTCACAGCTAAAAACCCGTCTCCATGCGTCCTGCATCCCTGTTCCCAGACGGGACCGTGGCTGGATTTTGTGTACCACCCTGACGGGAATTCTGTGTGTGAATGCACTCCTTAACCCAAACACACAAAAGCATTCTCTTTATCATTTTTTCTATAATTCATTTAATATCTAAAAATACATCTTGGACATTTTCACACTTTTCTGTCAGTACATGCAAATTTTGTGAAACTTTAAAAATATGTTTTTATTGATTTCAGAGAGAGGAAGGGACAAGGAGAGAGAGGTAGAAACACTGATGAGAGAGAAACATCAAGATACCAGCTCTGGCAGTTGTTGCTCAGTGGTTAGTGTCAACCATGCACCAAAGGGTCACAGGTTCCATTCCTGGTCAAGGGCATGTACTGGCGTTGCAGGTTCAATCCCAGGTCCTGGTCGGGGTCATGTGGGAGGCTACTGATCGATGTGTCTGCCTCATATCGATCTCTCTCTCTCTCCCCCCCCCTTCCCTCCCTCTCTTCCACTCTCTCTATGAATGGAATCAATGGAAAAAATATCCTCAAGTGAGGATTACCAAACAAACAACCAAAAAATACATCAATCAGTTGCCTCCTGCATGCCCCCTATTGGGGATGGAGCCTACAGCCTGGAAAACTGGTGACGGGTGCACAGGACGATCAGCCACACCAGCCAGGCTTATGAATTCTTTTCAACAACTGCATGGTATTCAATTCTGTGAACGTATCATAAACTGGCAGATTCTGTGTTATTTCCAGCTGTTGTTTTGTTTTGAGATCACATTGAATGTTGCAATGAATATCCTTCAACATGTATTTCGGAGGACTTGGAGTATCCCAGATATATTTTGGTGAATGAGTAAGGTAATTTCCAAGTTACCATCAATTTTCCTATCATTGTTTATTAAATAATCCATAATCTCCCCAGTGATTTGGATGTCAAGTTTACAATATGCTCTATAAGCATATATACTTGCATAGTTTATGACTCTCTAGTCTGTCTATTGTTTCCTGTATATCAAACCATTTTAAACCAATGTGTAAAATTGTACCTTTGCAATGTGTTTCAATGTCAGATATGTCTTAGAACCCTCACAATATTTTTCAGGACTTTTGTGGATATTCATGTGTTTATTTAACCAATGAACCTTAGCATTAGATTTACAAGCCTCCCCCACAACCTCAATCCAATTAGTATCTGATTGAATGGAGATGACAAGTTTTCACTAGGGGTGAAGGACAAATTTCCAACATCTTCTTTCAGAGACCTGACTTTCTGAGATGTTTGATACAGGATGAGAAACTGGGGACTCCAGATTGGGACATAAAGAAATAATTCAGAAAGCCAAACACACAGAGTCCTCTGGTTCTAACCCCATTACTTCGGGGGGGGGGGGCCTCCCGCGCCCTAATGAGCCAGGTGTGAGGTGAAAACTCAGTGAGTTATTCAGGTCTGTGCTTTGTGTAGAATGTTGTGCTATATGTTGTGGGAAGTAGAAAGATGATTCATAATACTTGTCCTCAAGTCTACCTTTAAATTATGACACAAAACCTAAAATCAATCAATTAATTAATTAATAACAATATTTGTGCCCTGGCCAGTTTGCTCAGTGGTTAGAGTGTTGGCCTGCCGACCAAGGAGTCCCAGGTTTGATTCCCACCAAGAGCACTTACCTCAGTTGCAGTTAGTCCCCAGCCCCAGTTGGGGTCGGGTGGCAACCAATCGATGTCTCTCTCTCTCTTTCTCTTTCCCTCCCTCCCACTCTGTCTGAAGATTAAGAAATAAAAAAGTAACAATATTTGTTCACTTAAGAGAAAGACTTAACTTAGTCCCTGCAGTGTGTTAGGAATGACATACAATACATGCTGGGAGTACAGGGGTAAGACCAATTTCATCCCCACGGGCAGGGAGTTGCCAGTTTAGTAAGACAGACAAGAAATAAAACAAATTACAAGTTTTTATGAGTTAGGAGGAAAATAAGCATGGGTCTGAGATGGAGAGTAATCGGTGACCCATGTCAGTGTGGTCAGTGAGGGCTTCGCGGAAGAGGGGACAGCAAAGCCGAGACCTGGGAGAAGCCCGCCGACGGAAGACGAGAGAGAAGGGGCTACATGCAGAGACCCAATTCCAGAAAAGTCCAGATACATTTGAAGGATTTATCACTAGAATTTGAACTGACAGGATATACTTACAAATGAGAAATGGATGAGGGAATGAAAGAAAGCAAAGATGTCTCCATGAGTTTCTGGTGTGAGAAACCGGGTGGATGAAGGGAAGATGCGGATGAGAACAAATCTGAATGAGACATCAAGTCTCATTGAGAACAAGTTGAGTCCAAGTTGAAACACAAGTTGGACCTTAGGTATGCATTGGATACAGACATGGATCTCCAAAGACGTGGTGGGGTAGTAGTCCCGAAACCTAAAACAGATCTGTCAGAACAAAGATGATGTTTAAATCCAAGGGAGTTGACACAGTATCCCCAGGAGAGAGTCTGGAGAGACTAGAAGTCCCAGGGTCCTGCAAAGGCCATCGTTTAGATGTAAGGTAGAGGAGGACCCAGCCGGTGAGACCGAGCGAGGCAGGAGAAACACCAGGGGCTGGCGTTCCCCTGCAGAGTGCGAGAAAGCTGTGAGCACTCCAGTTAGACGGGCTGGGAGAAGGGGTGCCTCCGAACCCCAGGTCTCAAGTGCCAGCAGTGTGCAGGGTGGGAGCTGGCTCCAGCGAGGAAGAGCAGAGCCTGTGGGTAGCCTTGAGCGGCAAGGTGTGAAGAGAGCGCAGAAGGCGAGGTTCGGTTCCGGAGGCGCCGCTATAAGGAAAGCTGAGCAGGACTGGAGTGCAGCCGGGAGGGTCAGTGAGTTTCACGAGGCTGCTCGGGGACAGCCAAGGGGAAGATGACGGCAGAGCTTCTCCAAGGCCCAAAGCGACAGAAGGAGCGGCAAGGAGCTGGTCTTTGGGCGGTGGCTGCGGGGTGGACCCGGTGTGTGCGCGCAGATCTTGATGGTTCCGTTTTTAAATAAAGAGTTCTCATGATTTCTCACCATGTCTCTATTTCTGTAAGCTAAATCTTGCAAATTAAGTATTGGAAATTCTGTCCTTTTTGAAGGAATTACTTAATCCCTGACTGCACTCCAGAAAGACTGAAAAATTCACACTGCTGCCCTACTGCCCAGCCCCTGTTGGAGTCGGCACCTTAGTGCTGGGTTCCTCAGCAACAGTGACTGGAGCCGTTTGCTTTGCTTGGTTTTGAACAACGGTGATGAGGCTTTTATTCCCAGGGAGGCTCACTGTCTACATTTCCCCAGGCTTGGGGCATAAATCCTGCATGACAGCACAAAATAGCTATCTTTTGGATAATAAGGTATATTAGTTATGGATAACCTCCATTTTTCCTATTCTATTATTTCTTCTCTTTTTTATTGTGTTGTTGGGAAAAAATTTTAAATTTATATTTAAATCTGTTCTTTTTCATCAGAAATTCATCTAAATGATTATACTGTTCTGTTTTATGTTAAAGATTAATTAGTTCCTAGCTTATTTGGAATTTAATATTCTGTGTGGCGAAGAATGTCTCCATATCAATTTTTCCTTATTCTCGCATCCAGTTGTCCCCCCAAATTTCTGAGTCTTTTCCACATCTATATATTGCTTCTACTTTGACATTAATTAAATGTCTATAACAGCAGATTTTTTTACTCTAGTCATTGATTATTTTTTGTTCTAAAGTTATTATGCAGTTTTGATACTTTTGCTTTATGTGTTAAAAAAAAATTCTACCAGCATCTTTGCCATATAATATTTTTTAAAACCTGATGTTCTCAATGACTGTCTTCCAGAGGAATTTTCTTATGCAATACTTCCAAGGTCTATAGCAAATTCCCTCAAATATTAATGGCCATTGCATTAAATTTATTGATTCCATTAAGAATTGTGATTTGGGGGCTTACTCATTATTCTCAACCAATAGAGTATGTCACTAAGCATTGTGCCTTTGTTTCTGAATCAGATGTTAAATTGTCTTTATTTTAAACTTCATGTTGAGGGTAGCAATATTTTATAAAGTTCATTTTTTGGCTGGCGGGTACTTGTAGATCCAAATGGGAGTCTTTACTGAGTTCGTCTTGTTAGTTTCCTGGCATTTTCTAGATGCATGTTCATGTGGACACCCAGGTGCAGGCTCACAGCATCCTTTTCCTTCCGGACAAGCAGTGGCTGCTCCTAGCATTCTTATCCAGATTTGGGGTCATGTGGGGTTCTGTGGGGAGCATTCTTTTTAAAAGTTTGTAATTTTTAAAAATATATATGTTTTATTGATTGTTTGGGGAGAGGAAGAGAGAGATAGAAACATTGATGAGAGAGAATCATTGATCAGCAGGTCCCCTACTGGGCATGTGCCCTGGCCAGGGTTTGGACCAGCGACCTCTTGGTCCACGGGCCAGTGGTCAACCACAGAGCCACACCAGCAAA